AACGTCCATACTTTAGTGCATTTGAACAGTGTTAAGTTCACTTACTAACGTCCATACTTTAGTGCATTTGAACAGTGTTAAGTTCACTTACTAACGTCCATACTTTAGTGCATTTGAACAGTGTTAAGTTCACTTACTAACGTCCATACTTTAGTGCATTTGAACAGTGTTAAGTTCACTTACTAACGTCCATACTTTAGTGCATTTGACAGTGTTAAGTTCACTTACTAACGTCCATACTTTAGTGCATTAAAACGGTGTTGCGTTCACTTACTAACGTCCATACTTTAGTGCATTAAAACAGTGTTAAGTTCACTTACTAACGTCCATACTTTAGTGCATTAAAACGGTGTTAAGTTCACTTACTAACGTCCATACTTTAGTGCATTAAAACAGTGTTAAGTTCACTTACTAACGTCCATACTTTAGTGCATTAAAACGGTGTTGCGTTCACTTACTTACGTCCATACTTTAGTGCATTAAAACGGTGTTGCGTTCACTTACTTACGTCCATACTTTAGTGCATTAAAACGGTGTTGCGTTCACTTACTAACGTCCATACTTTAGTGCATTAAAACGGTGTTGCGTTCACTTACTAACGTCCATACTTTAGTGCATTAAAACGGTGTTGCGTTCACTTACTAACGTCCATACTTTAGTGCATTAAAACGGTGTTGCGTTCACTTACTTACGTCCATACTTTAGTGCATTAAAACGGTGTTGTGTTCACTTACTAAGTATACTTTGGTGCATTTGAACAGATTCACACAGACTCCACAGAGTCCAACACAAAACAGGTGTTATGAGCTTTAAATCACATCAACAGTTAAACTATGATCTGCGTGGGAACCAGCCCCTGTGCACCTCCGTGTGCTGTTAACTTCTGTTAGGGATTTGCTGAGCCAGCTGTGAACATCTGCCAGCAGATTGGCATAGTAAAATGTTTTATTACCTTTCAGGAAACGCACAGTAACTTGCAGTTCCTGTAAGATCTTCACAATAAAAGCCCCTCACTGGATCTCACACTGGTCCAACACCTCTGCCAGCAAACAGTGAAATTTGGCTGACATCTAACAGAACAAACAGGAAAGCACGAGTGAAACTAAACCACAGAGATTCAGTTAGAAGATACTGAGAGCTGAACACAGCCAGACTTTGACTCTGGTGTGGCTGAAGCGGACCGACCCGGGTCAAAAACACATTTAACATATATTTAGTGTTTGACAGCTTATTGGGTCTGAAGAGCTGATACCCGAGTGTGTTTTTAATGCCAGCTGCTGTGAGACGTAATCCACAGGTGATCCGCCACCAACTGTTGTTACTGGACATCGCCTGATGTGACATCGCCTGTCATGATTGGCTAAACCCGTCATTTGGCAGGCGAAAGACAGAGTGCCTGTTTCTGTGCGTGTGTTCAGACCACAGGTTGTGTGTGGGAACAGGACCATGTGTGCACAGTTCACCACATGTAGTGTTCACAGGATTTGGTGATATTAACACACACGTCACCCATTGAAGAATTACAAAGCCGCCTGCTCGCCGTATCTTTGGCAAACGTCTCTCATCCAAAAGAGCGTCTACGTTTGAGCAGATGATTCACTCAGTGCTGCTCTGCTCTCAGACGTGGGCGTTAGGCGCCGCCATGACTGTAACCGTCACCTTGACAACCCATCTGGTGCACGCCAAAACCAGTCATCAAAAAAAAGGTCACCTCACCCCCGTCACATCCTCCTCCTCCGCCGTTACATCCCATCAGTCTGTGATGTCGAGTTCAGTCCAGCAGATATTCTGTGATGAGTTCAGGCTCCTTCTTTTGCCTCAGTTCACGCAAGCGTCTGCTCTTAACCATCAGCACAACCCAAAGTATGTTTCGGTTTCATTCATTAATAAAGCTTCCATCTGAAACAACATGTTACTGCTGAGAGAACGTGCAGATTCGACTGGAATCTGCAGGAATTATACCTTTTATTTGGTTTCATATTGGCCACTCTGCTCTCTAAATATCAGTCATTGAAAAACGCCGTTTCTGTCGACCACCAGTCATGACGGCAAAGTTGCACGTTTTAGGTAAATCCTCTTCTGCTTTTTCTCCCCGACAGTCAGATGTTCAGATTGATGCCACTCGTGTCTAAATTTGAAGCTGCAGCTGGTTAGCTTAGCTTAGCACAAAGACTGGAAACAGAGGGAAACAGCTAGCCTGGCTCTGTCCACCTCCCAGCTGCTCTAAAGCTCACAGATGAGCACGTCATCTCTCGGTTGTTTTAATCTGTAAGTGTAAAAATGAAAAATCTATGTTTTGCAGCAGTAGCTCAGTCCGAGAGGGACTTTGCTTGGGAACCGGAGAGTCGTTGGTTCGAGTCCAGCACGCACCACTGAAGCGCTAACCGCTCCTAATTGGTGGATTAAAGCTAGAGGACACATTTTGCATGCGCTGTACTGTGTATAATTGAAAAAGGTTGACTGATTGATTCACAGTGGGTAACGTGCATGTGTGCCGGTGTTGCAGTGACATCTGTATCCTTGTAAATATGTGTTTCCTCTCACCTTAACCTAGGGCTAGGCGATATGGCCAAAAATGTTGTCACAATAAAAAAATGAAACATCATACAATATCGATAATTCCCACGGTAAATATCAAGTTATTATGCCTTCTTAAAGTTTAAGTCTTTGCTCCTGGTTTTTGAAGAAACCAGATGGTTAATTGTGGTTTGAAACTTTTCTTTCAGGTCTGAACAAACACTTGATGCCAAACAGTGGATCACTTCACAAATCTGAGACAGAACATTCAAAACTATTTTGATAAAACAACAAATAAGTAAAATTAAGTAAAATATTTTTTTCCCCTCAACAAAATCTAAAATATCTTAATAGAAAAATTAAGTCCTAATTCGTTCATGATTCAACTGAATTAAATCAAACATTTATTGAGCATTTGTTATCTTGCATTTATTGCTTCACTGCTCAGCTCCTACTTTGATCTGACCCCAAACCACAGCCTTGAAGCTGCTCGGTAACCCGTGGGAACTCCACCAAGTCACTGGTAAGAAATAATCCAGCACATGATGGAAGGGGCAGCTGTGGCGCAGGAGGTAGAGCGGGTCGTCCACTAAGTTTGGTGGTTCGACCTCCGGCTGCTGCAGTCTGCACGTCGAAGTGTACTTGGGCAGATGCTGAACCCCAAATGGTGAAAGTACAGTCCATTTACCATGACCCCCCAACACTCGGTCTGTCAGAAAGCAAGAATGTATCTCAAAAAGTCAAACAGCAGCTCAGACAGATTAAATGCTTCAGATATCTTCACCTCTGGCATAAAACAAAGACGACGACGACCATCACTTCAGAAAACAGACTGCCAGCTCACCTGACAGACCAGACCAAGACTTTTCCACCTGCTCTCCTCAGTCAAATCCGACTGGAAAGCGAAGCAAGACTTCAAACAGGTACGACTTTAAACTCTCGTCACGTTCACAGCGTTTGTCGTAACAGAACAAATGCTAGAAATTAGTTGTCTTACGCGTTGTTTGTGGCATTGTGGGAAAGTACAGCAGGAAAATAATAAGATTCTGTCTATTAATATAAATAATAACCCTTTATACCTGCTGCTTGGCATATCTGATGTCCATCACTCACAAATATAAAACTTTACCAGATGCTTGCTTTCTGTGCCAGGTAGAGTATTCTGTTGAACTGGATCACAAATATCTGACATGTAAACTTCAGAGCAACGATGATGCCTTTCGTAAGACGTGGGACCCCTTTTTGTCATATTTTGGCTTAAATATTTCCACCATTTGTATCATAGCTCTGAATGCTCTGCCTCAAAAGGGACACTCTGCTTTGCCATTTAATTGATCTATTTTTGTTTCTGTACACCTTTCCTTAATCGTGCAAATATATCATGCGTATTAATACACCCTCAATTTATTTTGTTTTTATTTATCTTATGTTACTTTTACTTGTATGAGATGTGACAATTTTGTTTGTTTTGTTTTAGGTGTTCCTGTCTGTCTTAGTAAAAATATATTAAAATAATAAAAAGGAACAACGCTAATATCTCCTGAAAGGATCAAAGCAGGGAAAACGCTGATGGGAATCAGACAGGGCAGGCCGAGTGTTTGTGCTACAGTTTCCCGTGGTGAAGTTTGTGTGTGTTAGCATGTGGGCTAATCCTGAAACAGAAGCCCCCTGTCATGAGAAAGGACTCAGAGAGACTAATGCAATTACAGACCCAGACAGAGAGCGTGAGGTATGTATATTCTGGACTGGGATCATTTCTGTGAATGCGAGTCAAAACAAAATCTTAGAAATTAACTTGAAGTCATACATTTAAAGAGAGCGATACGTACATATAGTTATTTCACAGATTAAAAACTGCATTCACGGTTAAAAACACTGCAAACATCAGACAGTCAGGTATGATTCTCATAAGTCGCTTGATTGGATATCGATGATTGAAGGGATGGTCAGCGATTGGTTTTTCATGCGCCGATGACTAAGATGACATAAAAGCAGTCTCTAGAATCTGCACCACACTGCAGAGTTTCCCATTCATCGATTTATTTCTGGCGACACACACGCCACAACATCAACGCTGACCGCCGCATACTATAAACTATTTAATATGACATTGACAGCGGCTCCGTTGTTTAGCCCCTCCTCTTCTCGCACAATCTGAATCAAAACATGATCATACGCTGGAGGAAGGACTGTTGCTTTGGGTTTTTTTGCTGTTTACTTAAATCAATCGTGGTTGAATGGTCAGTATGGTGAACACTGCTCCACAACTGTGTCCTAAACGGATGCATTCAAGTGAACTCTGAGAAGTTAGTCTTTGTCCATGTCGCAGAACCAACTTCAAATAAGTTATAAACAAATAAAGTTGTCAAAAAGACAGAACTCGTCTTCTGAAAGAGGCTTGTTAACGATGTAACCTTTGAAAACGAAACTAACATGGCAGCCAACGAGTGTCATCTGCACTGGTGTGTTCACTGGCGCTTTACCTTGTCCGTGCTTGCAAAATATCCACAGTGTCCCCGTCTTGTGGTGTTTCTCGGCTAAATGCTTAAATTTGTGGTTCGTTAGGGCTCCAGGCTGCTTAACGGCTGCTGCTTAAACAATTGTCGTCACCTGAGGTCTCCTGGGAAGAGATGAAAGGACAGCATTGTAGGTGGAGGAAAAAGTGGCTTCTCAGCCCTCCTCCCCAGTTGAGAGGTGGTCTCTCTACTCTGGTGTAAATGACTCCTTTCACTCCTCTTTCAAATCACCTGACCTCCCCATCCCAACTCCAGTTGCCCTTTATTTAACTTTCCTTGGTTAACTACGACCTGGATGACTGAGAATCTTCACAGACATCTTGTGCTAATGTCATAATTTCTCTATATAAGATAAGATAGACCAAGATTTCCATTTTAAGGCTTGGAACACGTTTGAGGTACGTGTACTTTACTTTTCAGGCTCCTTTATACTATATACACATGTATATAAATAATATATAATTAAAGAAAATATTCAGGGAAATACTGTACTTTTTAAAATTACTCACAATATGATTCTGTGTTGTTCAAACTACCCAACGGTTTTACAAATGGAGCTGAAACGATTAAATTAAAAGTACATTTTCTTGAATATACTTTTAAGTAACATTTTCAGCGCATACTGCGCATATTGCATGGAGTACTTTCAGTGCAGTATAAGTACTTTTTTATTAAGTCACAAACCAGATTACTTCCTCCACCGTAGTTTTACACTAAAAAACACAATGTGTAAGCAGTAACAGTAGCTTATTTTCTATTATGCATTTGATGTTTCTGAGTTAAGCATCTGGTTCACTCAAACCTCCCGGACATCCTGTCTTTATCTCTCAAGATCATCAGCCGTCAGTGTCATTGTATTTTTAGGCGAACCCACAATCCTGCAAACTCCCTCATCTACTATTTCCTACGTTTCCCATAATGCCATTCAACAATGTCCACATAATTAGAGGAAATGGTTACATCGAAAATTACAGTGATATTAAGATCAAAGACGTTTTTCTAGTCTACAAAAAATGAGTCACTCCTCATTCAGACTCCAAGTTGTCCTGTCGCTGCAATGCATTCTGGTCTTTTTCTTCAATGTGGTCAATGTGAAAAACTGGTCTCTGTAATTCTTCTTCTTCTCTGGTGGATTTCTGACAACGTGGCAGCTCTGGAAACAAGCCTTCGCTCTTTGATTCTGACAAATCCTGATGTTTAAAGGGATAGTTCAGGACTTCTGAAGTGGGGCTGTATGAGGTCCACATGTGTTTAAACCACCTGTAAGTCTATCCACAGACCTTAAACTACCAGTCAGTCCATCTACAACATCTAAACCACATGCAAGTCTCGGTCTATCTCCAAGTTTTAAACCACATGTCAGTCTATTTACAAAAACTACTAGTAGGTCTAACTACGAGTTCTTACAAGAGCCGAACTACCTGCAGGTCTTCTTACAAGAGCCGAACTACCTGCAGGTCTTCTTACAAGAGCCGAACTACCTGCAGGTCTTCTTACAAGAGCCAAACTACCTGCAGGTCTTCTTACAAGAGCCAAACTACCTGCAGGTCTTCTTACAAGAGCTGAACTACGTCTTCTTACAAGAGCTGAACTACCTGCAGGTCTTCTTACAAGAGCTGAACTACCTGCAGGTCTTCTTACAAGAGCTGAACTACCTGCAGGTCTTCTTACAAGAGCTGAACTACGTCTTCTTACAAGAGCTGAACTACGTCTTCTTACAAGAGCTGAACTACCTGCAGGTCTTCTTACAAGAGCTGAACTACCTGCAGGTCTTCTTACAAGAGCTGAACTACCTGCAGGTCTTCTTACAAGAGCTGAACTACCTGCAGGTCTTCTTACAAGAGCTGAACTACCTGCAGGTCTTCTTACAAGAGCTGAACTACGTCTTCTTACAAGAGCTGAACTACCTGCAGGTCTTCTTACAAGAGCTAAACTACGTCTTCTTACAAGAGCCAAACTACGTCTTGTAGAGCTGAACTACGTCTTCTTACAAGAGCTGAACTACCTGCAGGTCTTCTTACAAGAGCTAAACTACGTCTTCTTACAAGAGCCAAACTACGTCTTGTAGAGCTAAACTACGTCTTCTTACAAGAGCCGAACTACCTGCAGGTCTTCTTACAAGAGCTAAACTACGTCTTCTTACAAGAGCTGAACTATGTCTTCTTACAAGAGCTGAACAACCTGCAGGTCTTCTTACAAGAGCTGAACTACGTCTTCTTACAAGAGCTGAACTACGTCTTGTAGAGCTAAACTACGTCTTCTTACAAGAGCCGAACTACCTGCAGGTCTTCTTACAAGAGCTGAACTATGTCTTCTTACAAGAGCTGAACTACCTGCAGGTCTTCTTACAAGAGCTAAACTACGTCTTCTTACAAGAGCTAAACTACGTCTTGTAGAGCTGAACTACGTCTTCTTACAAGAGCCGAACTACCTGCAGGTCTTCTTACAAGAGCTGAACTATGTCTTCTTACAAGAGCTGAACAACCTGCAGGTCTTCTTACAAGAGCTGAACAACCTGCAGGTCTTCTTACAAGAGCTGAACTACGTCTTCTTACAAGAGCTGAACTACGTCTTCTTACAAGAGCCGAACTACCTGCATGTCTTCTTACAAGAGCTGAACTACGTCTTCTTACAAGAGCTGAACTACCTGCAGGTCTTCTTACAAGAGCTAAACTACGTCTTCTTACAAGAGCTAAACTACGTCTTGTAGAGCTAAACTACGTCTTCTTACAAGAGCCGAACTACCTGCAGGTCTTCTTACAAGAGCTAAACTACGTCTTCTTACAAGAGCCAAACTACGTCTTGTAGAGCTAAACTACGTCTTCTTACAAGAGCTGAACTACCTGCAGGTCTTCTTACAAGAGCTAAACTACGTCTTGTAGAGCTAAACTACGTCTTCTTACAAGAGCTAAACTACGTCTTGTAGAGCTAAACTACGTCTTCTTACAAGAGCCGAACTACCTGCAGGTCTTCTTACAAGAGCTAAACTACGTCTTCTTACAAGAGCTAAACTACGTCTTCTTACAAGAGCTAAACTACGTCTTGTAGAGCTAAACTACGTCTTCTTACAAGAGCTGAACTACCTGCAGGTCTTCTTACAAGAGCTAAACTACGTCTTGTAGAGCTAAACTACGTCTTCTTACAAGAGCCGAACTACCTGCAGGTCTTCTTACAAGAGCTGAACTACGTCTTCTTACAAGAGCTAAACTACGTCTTGTAGAGCTAAACTACGTCTTCTTACAAGAGCCGAACTACCTGCAGGTCTTCTTACAAGAGCTGAACTATGTCTTCTTACAAGAGCTGAACTACCTGCAGGTCTTCTTACAAGAGCTGAACTACCTGCAGGTCTTCTTACAAGAGCTGAACTATGTCTTCTTACAAGAGCTGAACTACCTGCAGGTCTTCTTACAAGAGCTGAACTACGTCTTCTTACAAGAGCTGAACTACGTCTTCTTACAAGAGCTGAACTACGTCTTCTTACAAGAGCTGAACAACCTGCAGGTCTTCTTACAAGAGCTGAACTACGTCTTCTTACAAGAGCTGAACTACGTCTTCTTACAAGAGCTGAACTACGTCTTCTTACAAGAGCTGAACTACGTCTTCTTACAAGAGCTGAACTACCTGCAGGTCTTCTTACAAGAGCTGAACTATGTCTTCTTACAAGAGCTGAACAACCTGCAGGTCTTCTTACAAGAGCTGAACTACGTCTTCTTACAAGAGCTGAACTACGTCTTCTTACAAGAGCTGAACTACGTCTTCTTACAAGAGCTGAACTACGTCTTCTTACAAGAGCCGAACTACGTCTTCTTACAAGAGCCGAACTACCTGCAGGTCTTCTTACAAGAGCTGAACTACGTCTTCTTACAAGAGCTGAACTACCTGCAGGTCTTCTTACAAGAGCTGAACTACGTCTTGTAGAGCTAAACTACGTCTTCTTACAAGAGCCGAACTACCTGCAGGTCTTCTTACAAGAGCCGAACTACCTGCAGGTCTTCTTACAAGAGCCGAACTACCTGCAGGTCTTCTTACAAGAGCCGAACTACCTGCAGGTCTTCTTACAAGAGCCGAACTACCTGCAGGTCTTCTTACAAGAGCCGAACTACCTGCAGGTCTTCTTACAAGAGCCGAACTACCTGCAGGTCTTCTTACAAGAGCCGAACTACCTGCAGGTCTTCTTACAAGAGCTGAACTACGTCTTCTTACAAGAGCTAAACTACGTCTTGTAGAGCTAAACTACGTCTTCTTACAAGAGCCGAACTACCTGCAGGTCTTCTTACAAGAGCCGAACTACCTGCAGGTCTTCTTACAAGAGCCGAACTACCTGCAGGTCTTCTTACAAGAGCCGAACTACCTGCAGGTCTTCTTACAAGAGCTAAACTACGTCTTCTTACAAGAGCTAAACTACGTCTTGTAGAGCTAAACTACGTCTTCTTACAAGAGCTAATCTACCTGCAGGTCTTCTTACAAGAGCTAAACTACGTCTTGTAGAGCTAAACTACGTCTTCTTACAAGAGCCGAACTACCTGCATGTCTTCTTACAAGATCTAAACTACGTCTTCTTACAAGAGCTAAACTACGTCTACTTACAAGAGCCAAACTACCTGCAGGTCTTCTTATAAGAGCTAAACTACGTCTTCTTACAAGAGCTAAACTACCTGCAGGTCTTCTTACAAGAGCTGAACTACTTACTTTAATCTGTATCTAAAAGAAGTAAATTACCTGTTGGTCTACTTACAAAAACAGACTACCTGCCAGCCTGGCTCCCTGTAGATCTAAACCATTAGTAGGTCTATCCACAGACTCTAAACTACCTGTAGATCTATCTAAGGACCACCTGCAAGCTCTAAACGATCTGTACAACCACTATACTACTGAACCTTGACTCCCTGTAGGTCTTTTTACAGGAGCTAAAATATGTAAATGTTACATTTACTCATTTGGCAGACTTACATTTGAAGCTATCTACAAAAACATAAACTACCTTAGTCTATCTTCAAGGATTAAACTACTTGTCCACACGATCTAGACCACATGTATATCTAAACTACCTGTAGATCTACCAAACTACTAACCTTAACTCCCTGTAGGTCTCTTTACAAGAGCATTACACTAAATAATCTAAAGCTAAGCCTTTTTTATCCTTTCACTTCCAGCTGTTCTTGTTTAAGTTGTTTTGACTTGCTGTTTTTATTTCTTTCTGTTGTTTTATTAATTAACTGAACAAGCTTTTCATTATTTAAATTTTTAGGGCCATGTTTATCCCAGTTCCTTCGGTGTGTGTTTCTTGGTGCCTTTTGCAAACGAGCTCTCAGTGTATTTCCGAGTTTAACTAAAGTGTGACTGAATGAATATATGAAATAATCTATTTACAGACTACCTGTACAGCCTTCTCTACCTGTTGGGTCTATTTACAAGGACTTTACAAATAGTCTATTTACAAGGACTCAAACAGGTTGTATGATATTTAGACTTTTCATCTTCTTCATTTGGTACTTTTGAGTGACTCTAAGGATCCAAACGCGTTCAGTTTCTGTGATTCCACAAAACAAATTGCACATTTGCGCTCGGCTTCCAAGCGCCTGCAGGTTTCGTGAGTTCGTGCAGGTAAACAACAACCAGGTGAAGCCAAGCCGCCACCAACACACGCTGTGCGTGTACTGGAGTGATCCCTGCAGGATGCACGCCTCGTGGCCGCCCCGGGTGGACTCACCTCTGCAGACTCGCTTCACTCCTGCTGCCCTGCGGGGGAATAAAGCGCGTCCTCAGTCCTCAAGTCAGCACGCCGGCCGCAGCTCCTCATGTTCGGCTCTCTCCTCTGAGCGCGTCGCCTCGGGGTCCGGAGCTCCGAAACACAAAGCGAAGAAGACGGAGAGTGCAGCCAAACTCTCCGCTGCTCACCTCCTGCCTCGGTTCAACAGGCTGGAGGCTGCGGCCATCAAGCTACACGAGCTAACTGGCGCCACTTCCGGCTGTCGCCTTCAACGTAAAGGTCGAGCGTCATGTAAACGCAACATTAAGCAGTTTATTCTCACTTTATTGAATACAAACGTATTATAAATAAATAAATAATTGCAAAAGTAAATAATTAAATACATTAAAAATAAATAGATTTTGGTGAAGATTTTTTTAAATGTTTGCATTTCTACATGCATTTATTTATTTATATATATATTTATTGATTTCTACATTTATTTATGGATGTTTACATGTATTTATTTATTTATCTATTTATGCATGTCTACATATATTTATTTATTTATATATTATTTATATATTTATAAATGTCTACATTTATTTATTTATGCATGTTTACATGTATTTATTTATGCATGTCTACATGTATTTATTTATTTATATATATTTATAAATTTCTACATTTATTTATTTATGCATGTTTACTTGTATTTATTTATACATGTATTTATTTATGTATTTATTTATTTGTGCATGTCGTGTTTCTGTGGTCTGTCACAGAGGAGCTAACGAACATATTCTTTTGTTCTGATTTGCTGCAGAACTGTTGCTGCTGCTTTAATCTCAAACAGAAGCACTGAACTTGTCTTCTGGTGGCAGTTCTGTGTTTGCAGCGTCCTTTATACAGTAAACAACAATTACAGATGAGCTCAGCGGCTCATTCTGACTGCTCTGGGAACAAACTGACTGTTTCAGATATTCACGTTCACCTTAACTTTGTAAAGTCATTATGATTTCATTACTCTGTGTCTTTCTTATTCATTGCTTCTCTGCAGTTTGTCTGTAGCCCTTTACTTTAAAATCTTCTCTATAATGAGGCTGTATTACCTGCTGATTATTTTCCCAATTACAATTGTCCAGCCAGTGAAATGTTATAAAGTAGTTAGGAAAACCACTCATCACAGTTTCCCAAAATCCTCGGTTTAGTCTTGAAATAACATGAAAGATGTTTTAATTTAAATAAAAGATTCTCACACTTGAAGAACTGGAGAAAGAACATTTTTGCCTGAAACTTGACTGAAATTATTAACAGTTACAGATTAATTCTCTTTTTAACGACTATTCGATTAACCGCAGCAGCTTTAATCTATAATGCATTTATATTTCGTATATCCATCTCTAAATTACTTATTCATATGGAAACAATATTCTTATTTGATTGTGATTTCACACCAACTGATTTTATGTGTTGTGCTTCTATTTTGAAGGAAAATGACACTTTTCCGGCATAGCTTTGAGTTCAGCTTGACGCGCCTTCCTGCCTCTTACATGATGATTGGCTTAAAGTACTTCATCTTATGAATATTCATGACGCGGTCACAGCGCAACGAGAGAAGAAAACAAAACAAAGTTTCATGTGTTTAATGATGAAATGACTCTTTTATGGTAGAAAGCAGCAAATCTTCTCATTAGTGAAGCTGAAATGTTTTTGTGGTTTTTACATGAAAAAAGGACTTCAAAAATTCAAAATAGTTGCCAATTAAATTAACCAACTAATCGTTCCAGCTGTACTTGTAGCCTATAAACTGTTGGAGTTTTATTTAAAACAAAACATCATATTTTCTAAACTCTTCATGTGTTTTGTGTTTAAAAAGCTTAATTTGCAAAGTAACTAGTAACTGTATCTAATAAAACTTTATTATTTATTGTTCTGCATAATTCAAGATAAAGATACAGAGAATTAAAAAAAACAAAGTTATATTGTGTTTTAAATAATTTTTTTAAAATGTATTTTTAGTTTGACAAAGTGAAGAAACATTTCTAGAGAAGACTTTATATGCAACCAAGTCGTGGATGAAGTATTCAGATCCTTTACTTAAGTAAAAGTACTAATACCTCCCTGCAAAAACGCCCTATTACAAGTAAAAGTAAAAGTACTGCATTAAAAATGTTACTTGTGTAAGTATAATCAGGAAAGTGTACTGTATTGTATCGTATTAAACTGTAATTAATGATTATTTTCTCCATTAATCGATTGTAAATAGTGAGAAATGTTGTCCCAGTTCTCCAGAGTCCAAAGTGACGCCTTCACAATGTTTGTTCTGTCAGTTTAACCTCGAAATGATTACAAATGCATTAAAATAATCAGAAGGAAAAGCAGCAAATCTTCACAGGAAAAGTTTTTACATGATTTAAAAGAACATCAAAATATCTGCCTGTAGTCGTATAAACTGTTTAAGTTACAACAAAACATATTTTATAAACTCTCCATGTGTTTTGTGTGTAAAAATCTGACTTGGCAAAGTAAATGAAGCTGTCAGATAAATGTTGTGAAGTACAGATGCAGTTGAGACGTGCTGGAGTAGAAGTAGAAAGCGGCAGGAAAAGAAAATACAAATACTGTGCGCCACTGTATGCAAGTCAGCATCACGTACAGTTTACCCGTGTTTTACATCTAAATTAATTGGTTTTCTGTGTCTTTGTCAGCCTGTTTTTAGAGAAATAAATCATTAATTTTGTTCATGTGTTCAAAAAAAGGTGTTTTTAAACCCGCAGACACGTTAACCTTTATTAGAGGTACAGTCGGTCCAAATTAATGATCAACAGCTTGATGAATTTCAGTTAAAACGGTCAAAGGAGAGATAAATTTTGCTGTGTGTGAGTCTACAGAAGGAAACTCTTCAGAAACAACAAGCTGATTTATTTAAAACAAAACAAAAGCACTGCAGCAGATCCCAGTGCAGCGTTTTCCCCTCCGTAGAAAAGAAGCTGACGTGAACAGAATATTAATTATTACTGGACTAAATGTGGCTTTCAGTCCCGGAGACAAAGCAAAGACTCACTGAACCTCCAGTCTGAGTCTTTGCAGCAGTAAAGTGATCTCATTTACTTTTCCAGATGACTCAGGCGTCTGTTTAAAGAAGGTTTATTGGTTTCTGTGTCTTTGCGGAATAAAAAAAGCTGCTTTTATTTCCCCCACATGTTCCAGACTTGAAGACGTCTCAGGTTTTATTCATCAGAGTAATCCAGATAACTTTATCTCACAGGTCAAAGGTCAAAGGTTATGTGTGTTTATGGGGTCAGACGGCCCTGCAGCAGTTGGACTGCAGCTTCCTTGTTGTGCGTCCTGGCCTCCTGCAGAGGAGAGCTCCCCCACCTGGCGGAAAGACAAAACTACATCACACACGGTCCCCAAGATTGTATTTATATACTACATGTAAATACTAAAAAATACACAGTACTGTGTATATTTTAGTATTTATATACTACATATAAATACTAAAATATACACAGTACTGTGCAAAAGTTTTAGGCAGGTGTGGAAAAATAGAAATTATATAAATTATAGTTTTTTACAACTACTGACACACAAAATTTTTACATGTCCCACGATTTTTTAAACCTCTCACTCATAAAGCAAAACCTCACCTCAAATCTCCAAAATTGAAGCTATTTCTCAGCTTTTCACTCAGTTTTCAATCGCATGAAACACTTTGTTCAAAACACAGCAAACAATCCTCAGACCTCAGACACAAAAATCTAACAGGAAGTGACCTGCTTTCCTTTTCCAAACACAACCAATGAAAATGCTTTACTTATTCACCGGGTCACACAGTGCAAACACCAACCAGTCACTGCTTCAGTATACAGTAGACCTATGCATAGGTCAAAGGTCAGATTACCTGTTTTGAACCATGGATGCCAACAATGGACAGAGAGCAAGAGGAGGACGAGGAGGACAAGTTCAAGGAGGAAGAGTTGGAAGAGGAGGAGGACGATGATGATGACGAGGAGGAAGGCGCGCCATCACTGATGAGATCAGGGCCGCACTTACAGTTTTTCATAATTGCTTAGACACATTTCTTGAGACCTTCACCCATATTCTCCAAACTTTGTCTTTAAACCACTTTCTCAAAACCCGCCGACTCTTCAGGCAAAATCAAACAATGCTTTCAAAACATCACACATCAAACAACACTACAGAGCGTTTCTTTACGTAGAGGAAACATTTTCCAATTTAAAAAGTATAGTAATCACAACTTAGTACAGTAAATATATAGTATACTGTAAGTACTGAAAGTAATACAGTACTGAATATCTGTATATTCAAACTATAAATGAAAAGCACATTACACTATAAAATGTTGTGCAACTGCAGAATCAAAGTCAATACAGTAAGAGAGTTCATCCTCATCACATGCAGCCTTGTCCCTCGCCAAGCAAAGCAGGAAACCCCTCGGATGTGCTGGACGCAGCCTGACTAACACTCCACACCTCTCTCACCACAGGCCGATTCCACTGCCTGTAAGAGATTTTCCCTAGCAAATGAGTTTCAGTCATAGACTTTCCACCGTCAGGCAGAAATTGTTCTGTTGGACTGAAGTAAGCGCCGGAGGTTGAAGGTAATCATGTTTGAATCACTGGTTGCTGGTTTACGTTGAACCACTTATTTAGCGGGACACCACAGTGAAAGCTGACATCGTCCCGTGGACAGGAAGTACTGCCGGCTGATGATCCTGCCGCTCACGCTCAAACACGCAATTCCAACGACCAGCCAGAAAAGCAAGAAGATGTTCGGGGTTATTTGTCCCCGAGGTTGAATGACAGTGGAGAACATGTCCCTCACTTACAGCTTGGTCAAAGTGTGACATGGGGACATGACCACATATTGGTTTGATCACACCTTTAGAAACAAGCGTGCAGGATTATGAGTTGCTTTGTGTAAAAGATGACAGCTGCAACACAAGTGCATCACAGAGCAAAATGTGTTTTAGCAAGTGAGAAAAAGAGCGGATGAGATTTGCAAACAGTGTCTCAACTCGCTGAACTTGTTTTATAAGAGTGACACTGAAGGCCACTGAGCACTGGGTTCAGAGAATGGGGGTTTAGTGTTTTAGCTATTATGAAAAACTAAAAAAGAGGGGACCATAATTCAAACCTGCAGAAATTAGAACAGGTTGCAACAATCCAGTGGTTATTTCAGCAGGATAGTATTATACAATAAGCATTATTGTTTGGCAATAAAAGTAAAAATCATACTTTTGGTTTATTTATGTTTATGGTTTCCTTTTGTTGTATTCTAATGTATACGACACTGTGCTACTGTTACAACAGTAATGTTGCGCCTAATAAATATTTTCAGTTTCATCATTGCATTGGTGTTTACAGTTTACTTTTCAGCCCCTCTCAGCAGATTACTTTCACTCTAGAACATTATATGGAAATAAGAAGACACAAAAGCCTGTGAAAGACAAAAGAGCTTTAGATTTAGAACAACAGTGTGTGAATGGTTTGTGATGTGTTTATGGCATTTTGAAGGAAATATGTGGAATTTTTCATTTTGTGTGAGCAGCTTTGAAAAAAGGAGACAAAATGCAGAGAGTGAACAGAGGTAATAAAATAATAATACATTTTATTTATACAGCGATTTGAAAGGTCCTCAAAGGCACTTTAGGAAGGTAAAAAGAATAGATGACTATTAAAAGAAAAGGTTTAGGCTAAATCGATTAAAGGTTAAAAGACAGATGGGTTTTGACGGGGACTGTCTGAGGTGACGAGGGAGAGAGATCCAATAAACTGCACCTGCGTGTCTGTCCAGGTCCTAACGTGTTCTACATTTCACTTCCTCTGTTAAACGTATAATGAATAATAAAAATAAAACTCCCCCTCCCTCCGGCAGCGTCATATAGAGTGAAAAAGAAGAACAAGGACTGATATTTGCTGTCTAACTGTTCAGCAGGTGAGCTCTCACCTGTCCTTGAGGGCGGGGTTTGCTCCCGTGTTCTCCAGCAGGAAGCGGATGACCTCCGTGTGACCTTCGGCGGCCGCCACGTGCAGCGCCGACCTGCCGTCGTAGTCCACAGCGGTTACGTCCACTCCCGACAGGAAGTATCTGCAGACAACCACAGAAGGAGAGAACCCGGCAGCTCGTTCATCCCCAGAAAGTGGTTATGTGATGTTTTAAAAATCAAAATGTTGGGTTACCTCCTCAGCGCCTGGACGTCTCCTTTAAAAGCTGCCAGCAGGACGTTCATGATCTGGTATCCCTGCAGAGGAGAGGACGCTTCTTAAACAATAAAGTCCATCTGATCATGCAGAGAGACGACAAGAGAAACTGGTCTGGGATCAGAATCGAGGAGCAGAACCCACCTCAGATTCAGCCTTCCACTGTCTGTAGGCCAGAATCTGCCTGAACGGAGTCCTGATGTCAAAACTGTGCAGCTGAAATGTAGAAATCAGCTCCTACAAACACAAGCAGACATCTAAATATCACTGCCGGCCCATAAAGCAGCATCTATCTTCCTTTCTAGAGCTAAACTTAAAACATACAATCCAACATCCCATTTGTTTTTTTCTTTCTCCCAAACTTTCAATTTCAAAGCGAAAATATTTATCTTTTGTTCAAGATCCAAATGTTCATTCTCTCCTTGTCTTTATTTAATGTTGTAAAATGCGTTTATTCTACTCTCCCATGTGTCGGTCCCATGGGTTTCCACTGAGGACGATGTTCCCATTTTGAAGTTCTCACTTCTTGAAAGCATTTGTTAAAAAGGTTCTGAAAAATAGCTTCCACCAAGAAATGCTAACTAACAAATGAAAATGCTTTGAGAAAAGGTGTATTTGCATGAAAACGTGCAATGATTTAAATAAAGGTTCCTTTCATATAATAAAAGACAATTCCACCATGAATGGGGGCAGAAAATGTCTCTTTGGACTCCGGCCTCAGCATGAAATTAAAATCATTTAAAACTAAAATCGTTTCGTTCTGCTCTCGTGCATCGTCACCTCTCGTCACCCAATGTATCATCACGACCCTAATCTGAGCCCTTATGTCCACTTTTGAACACAAAGCGACGTCCTTATTCTTCATAAGTTTTACCTCATCTTCTATCATTGGCCACTCTGCGGACATGTTCCCATCACTTTTGCAGTGGCTGATTTTGTCCTCATCTCTTTTTAAAAGCTTAATTTCTGAAAAACAGCTTGCAACAAGAAATGTTAACTAACAAATGAAAATGCTTTGAGAAAGATTTGCACACTAAGAAAACATGCAATGCAATTAAAATATGAAAGGAACAAATGTGCATTGTCCAAGAAAGTAACTTAAGCTAAAACGTCCTACTTATTACTGCGTTATATTTTATTATATGATTTCAGAAGGCCGGAAATTCAGTGTTAAATGCCTAAAACTTTCAGACCCCCCACTCATTTATTTCAGCATTGAATATGTCTTTAAAATAGTGTTTAAATATCTTCATCTCGTTCTCGTTACCTCAGTATTGTGCATCGTAGCTCTCATGAGCCAAGTTTATCGTCACACCCCTAATCTGAGCCCATCACCGCTTCTCAACACAAATAAAAGTGACGCCCTTGCATACAGAACAGGCTTTGTCCTACTACATCATTTCCATCCTACATCCTAACCCTCACGGTCTTCAGTGTTTACCTTCTATCATCACATATATCCTGTGTTTAAGATACGAATCTGTTTCTCCTTCAGGCTTCATTCTTTATTTTAACTGACATTATTCTACTTCTTTTATTTTGTATCCTACATCTTCCTTTAATAACTTCTATAGTCTTACAAACTAGCCTCTCTCCTGCATCATAGCTACCTTTACACATTTTTTAATGTTACTATTGTTATTTTAAACTTTACTTGGTCACAGATGTTTATTCTTTGTTTCGTATCAACGCTCCGTCTCCACCTTTACATTAAATGAAAAATCTATTTTTCCATTAGTTGATGATGAGATGAGAGATTGAGAGAGGTGAGACCTGGCAGAAGTGGACGGCCCTCCAGGGGTTTCCACAGGCGTCTAACTCGGGAGAGAACGCCATCAGACCCAAAACACCGGGAACCACCGCCAGCAGGCAGCCGTGGCTGCTGGACACGGCCGGTACCGACGTCTGCAACAGAAAACCACTTCAGACACAATCGCACGACTCTGCCACACAGGAGTGCTCTCAGAAAGTGAAGATCCAGTATGGATTTAGAGTACATGGTCTATACCTGCAGTGCCACAAACTGAGACCAAATCAATCAACAACGTTAGCAAAATATTAACTAAGGCAAATCATTCAGCAAAGGAAGACGAGGAACTGAAGTACTTTATCAAATTAAATAGAACTTTTCTAGGACGTCATGAGTTTCGTAAGGTTTGAATCAAGACCTGAAGTTCTAGTTTGATCAACAGCATCACATGAGACTTAGTGTGAGACTTAGTGTGTACGCTTTAGTGGCATCTAGTGGTGAGGGTAGCAAATTGCAACCAGCTGCTCATGGTGCATTCAGGTGCTCCTCTGATGGTTCCATTTTGCCAATTGTGGAGTTATTCTCCCGACTTCAGAGGTCAGAATGTGGAATCAGAATGTGTTGGATTAACATTATCAGAGCGTATAAACATGCAGACATCTAGTTCACGCTACATGGACAGAAAACTAACCGTTAGAACCATAGTACAAATTACATGTTTGCAATATATGTATATGCAGTACGTTATTTTGCACGAATCAAAGTTCTGTGTACTTCTTTACTTTTCTTTTTGCAATAAAGATTTAAAGGAGGAAAAAAAGATTCTGATTATTCCGACACCACATGAATGCACCATCAGTCACAGCGAGCCGGAGAAGCTAAGGCCAATACACTCTGTCAAAAACACGTGTGTTCCTCCATTTGTCCAAATTTCACTTCTTTTCTTACTTCTAATAAACCAGACGACTACTAGTACTACTTCTTCATGGTAGTGATGAAACGCACTCGTTAGAGCAGTTTGTCCGTTTGGGCTGCTGTAGAAACATGGCGGCCAACATGGTGTAGTTTATGTGTATGTAGATATAAATGTCTCATTCTACAGGTAATAAAAACGGTTCATTATGTAAGTTCTTTATACACCACGGAAAACATAGTTATGGATCTTATGTTGCATTTCTATCATTAGATCCTCAGAAATATTACACACTGACCCTTTAAACAAAGAAAAGAAAAGAAAATAAATACAGCTGAAATCATTAAAATCCAAACTTATTATTATTATTACATAAAAATAATCTTTTAATAATAATTTATGTGTCTTCCTCCTAAAAATTCAGAATCACTGAATATGTAAATAATGTTGAATTCAGACAAAATGTCTCCTGCTTTAAAGTGAGATTAAAGGTGAGCTCAGAGAAACGTTCCTCCTCTAGCAGACTCCTGCACAAACATCATTCTGCAGAGTGAAGCTCAAGAAGGAAAGTGGTTAGACTGACGGTGGCCTTAAACGACTAAAATGTTTCAGGTATTTATTGACATTCAAGTGCTTCCTCTTCCAGCTCTAACTACAGCAGAACGAAGACAGGACCTTGTAGTGGAAGGTCGTGGAGTAGTCCTTCATTCCCGCCACCTGCATCATGGACAGCATGCTCCGCGTGGCCGCCGGCGACAGCACCTGGTCACCTGACAGTGGACAGAGGCCCCCGTTGGCTAACGAAGCGGCCATGGCGGCTCCTGATTCGCAGGTGATCTCTGTTGAAGCGCACTGTCAGACGGCAGAGACACAGGCCAGTGGACTCACTTTGAACACATTACAGGTCTTATAATAAAGACATGTAATATTTTATTCTGCTTTAATTTTAAATCTTGTTTTGCATGCTTTGTATCATTAAATGCAAGTTGTCTCAAAGAAAACTCTCAGCAGACAAGACTTCGGTTACAACGCCTTGAATACCTCTTTTTAGTTATTTCATTAATGAGTTATGACCCTGATTCATAGTTTAAGTGTGAGTATGACTGTGTGCATTTTCTCTGCTGTTCATCCTCACGTACACTGGGGATGAGGGGGACATATTTAGTTAAAAGAAGAAGAAATGTTAACTAACAAATGAAAATGCTTTGAGAAAAGGTTTATTTGCACAATAAAAAACATGCTATTAAATGCTTCTTAAATTCTTGGGGAAGACTTTGTTTCTTCAAAATAATGTTAAAATATTGTCACACCCTAATCTGAGCCCCTCTGTCACCACCACTTTGCTGCTTTGTCTGGTTCTAGTCTGCTGAGTTGCAGGTGGTAGACGGCTAATTGGACTGATGGTACCTGGGGCACGTTCAATCTCAAAACATTTTGCACCGGTTTGCAACGTTTTCTGATAGAACGACATGTTTCCTTGCAACGTTGCGCATCGTTCTGCAACGGGCTTCGAGGTGTGTTTTCTCCTGTTTGTTGGGCGTGTCTCAGGTGTTACCCAATCAGCTGCGACAACTTTGTAAACACAACGGTGTTAAAAAGGCAGGGAAATGCAGCGCGCTTGCGTTCACAGCAGGGTGTTCAAGGCACCAATGTTTCTATTGGAGAAAACGTTCGGCTTTACAGTTATCCTCAATTGCTTAATCACTATAAGCAGGCTGTTGAAGTAAAATTTCAAAACCACACCTCGGATTTTCAAAAGGCACACCCATTTCTCTAAACTCCGCACACAAATCCCCTCGTTTCTCATCACCTACACCTTGTTCACTCAAGTCAACAAAGGGGGAGCTCAATTAGCACACAGCTACTCAGGTGGAAACACAAACAGTCAAAATAGATAACAGACCAATCCGAACCTTCAACAGAAAAATAAAAGGGCCGGAGTCAGTTCATTCAGCTTTGGAACAATGGATCCAGAGAAATCTGAAGGAAGACACGGAGGACACCAGAGAGAAGGAGGAGGAGAAGGAGGAAGAGGTGAAGGAAGAGGAACAGTGGGAGTTGGAGGAGAAGATGGGATAGAAGGAGGGCGGAGGAGGTAGAGGGAGGAGGAGGAGGTGGAGAAGACGGGACGCTGGGGCAGAATAATTTGTTGTTTGGTGTGTTGAACTGTGCGGCACACTGAGGAATAAAACACGTGCAAATGTTAACATTTGTTATGTCTTTTGTTGCGTTCATCATGTGAAAAGGTTTCTGAGGGGGAGAACCACAAGCAACGTTACCGATAGTATTGTTCTGAACACCAGTGTGTCAGACTGTGTTGTAGTGTGTGGTTTTGAGGGCTTATGTGTCATATCAGAGGACAAAGTTTGGTTTTTCAGCCAGATTGAATGGTTTTGAGTGGAGAGCTTCATTTTGACCTGAAAATAGGATGTTCGGGGAACTGGGTGAGAAGATGTGGATTTGTGTTCAGAGTTTCGAGAAAAAGAGGCATAATTTCAAGAACGTGTTTAAGCAATCGAGAAAAACTGTAAAAGGACACCTGCCGACGTCGTGAGGTCACTTCCTTTTTCCTGCCTCCCAAACAGATTAATACGTCCTGCTAGTTTTGAACCAAGATTTGTACAGAATATAAGACAAGAGTTGTGCAGGATATGAGACAAACTTTAAAGTTTGGTCGTGGAAACCTTTAGGGTGGAGAAGCTGTTCTCCTGTTAACGGCTCAGGAGTGAGTTAAGCGGCCTCATTTTTCTTTTGTTGTTAGTGCTGTTAGGTAAGTTAGTAGGTAACAATATGAGTTGCGTTTGTTGTTTTGGACGTGCTCTTAATTGGGTGAAAAGATTTATCAAAAAATTTGAAAGGGGCGAGACATTTTTATGTTGTGCTCAGGTTTCCCCTTTAGGCCGGGTGTAACAAATGTACCCCTTTGTTTTAGTTGTTTTGTATTTGTGTGAACCAATAAAGTTTGGGAAAAAGGAGTCCAGCGGAGTCAGCGTGGTCATGGAATTGAAATCCTGAATCTAACTACCCTCAGGCTGGCTGATGGAGGAGATAATCTGCACCATTGGGGCCCTAAAAGCAACAGTTTCACATGTAGATTAATTTAGCAACATCTGTCTAATCTCAGTTTGTGCAGAACCAGATCCACAAACACACAGGTGCTGTAACACAACCTGCAGAGGAGCTCATTCAGAGCTGTGAACAAATAAACTCACAAGGAGACCTTAGGGGTTTTACCTGCAGCATCAGATCCAGCGCAGCATTAATGTCGGCCTTCTCTGGAAAACACTGACAGACGGGAGGTTAGTTAGAGACAGCAGGAAGAAGAGGAGACACCGCTGATCTTTACTGTTTGAAAGCGCTTTACCTTTTTCTCCTGCAGGTAAAAGGACAGAGCGTGGAGTCTGACGCTGGCCTTCCTGCTGCTCTGACAGCTAAAGATCACAACAACAAAACTGATATTACTCCCTCCACATGAACAAACACCCCCCAGTGGAGTAGCTTGATATGAAATTATATTTTGGAGGAGCAATGAACCAGGCAACTGAACAGAAATGTGCTTTGCTTTTTCAGAATATTACTACTTTTGTTTTAAGGAAAATTATCTTAAGGGCTCAATATGAGATGCTCATTGTCACCTAATCCAATCAAATAAAATATAGCCGCGAGCGGCGATGATTGGGATCCAAGAAAGTCGTGAAAAACGCAATATTTGACATTTTCAGAGGAGAAGAACAGACGCAGATGATTTAAGAGATTAAATTGATCAAAGAATTTGGACCTGGAGATAACTGCGGAAACGCAAACTTGATTTTTATATGTACCTGACTACTGGGTGAAACATTTTGTGTTTCCAAGATTTAAAGTTTAAGCTGCACAAACACTTTTAGGCAGAGAAAAATAAAAACAAAGTGTCACGGGATCCAAATAAAATAGAGAACTTAGACTCACTATGAGCTGAACAACCTCGTTGTCTGCAAGCCTGACACCTGGGGATTTAAACCCAGGACCTGCAGATCTCCAGAGCAGGTGACTTACTGACTGAGCTACTGGTGAGAGGAGGTTTCCACACAGCTTCTCACAAGTTGAGGTAGTGACGTCACATGTGCCAGAACTGGAGAGTTTTGTCAGTTTAAACTTAAAACGCTTACAACTGTCAAGATGTTGCTGAGAAAATTCTGAAAAAAACATGCATCATTCTGCTGGTTTTGGGTGTGTTGTGAATTATTTTGGTGGCATTTGATCCAAAACTGAGCAATAAATGTTGTAAATACTGTACAAGTTACAGCAAGATAATGAAGATCACTGCAGACTCACCGTTTGACTGATATGAAAACCATTAGAAACACTTGATATCGGCCATCTGGAGAATGACTTTGTCGAGTTTGGTAGCGTTTGAAAGACTTTTGGAGATATAGATGTTAATTGAATTAGCATATTCTGAAAAATATAGAGTGACAGACTTCTGAGTTGACCATAGGCTGCAGTGAAGCAAACGTTTGTCACGTATCAGTGGATGTGCTGAAATAAGTTCAGCTCTCGAGGATGTACGGAGGATTTTCTAAAATTTTTTGAAGTTAGGAATGAGAAATGTCTAGAAATTGACATTTATTGTGATAAGCCACGCCCACTTTGAGCAATCATTACCAAATTTTATGCATCAACAGAGTAGTGACCCGAGATCGTACAAATCCATGCAGCGAATTACGAGGTATAAACTTTTTGCAAGCGTAGCGCCCCCTAGTGAAAGAATATCCCAGGACTGCTCAGCAAAGCTCTGGCCGAGCATCTGAACAGACGCGTCAAGTTTGGCAACAATAGCTTAAGCCAATTTTGATTACGGGCATTTATGTAAAATTGTACATTCAATTGTACAAGTAAAAAATTATGGAAAAAAACAAAACAGATTGACGTTTCAAAATTCTTTTAATAACTTTTGATCAGCGACGTCCGTAGATGATCCTGCCAAAGTTTCAGGTCGATTGGCAAAACCGTCTGTGACAAGTTTGCAAAAATAGGTTTTAGAGAAAAGAGATAAAAAGTCGTATAATTTGACATTTTTAGAGCAGACCAGAGATTAAAATAATGAAAGAAGTTTTTGAGATAATTGCAAAAATGTAGAGTTGATTGTTATAGCGCCACCATGAGGTTTATGAGGGACATTTTTTTTGCCTGAGTAGTGGGTGGAATTTGCAACCTACATGACAGTTTTGGTGAGTTTTCCTCCAGCAGTTTTTGCTGCCCAAAGAATCAGAACAAAAACATTCGCTTCCCTGCTTGGATCCCTAATGAGTCTTTCCGTCTGACTTCCAGTCTGTAGCTCTCAGAGCCAACTGGTTCCTCCTGAAGATGTAAATCTTTAAAAACACCTGACAGATTTATAGGTTCATGTTGAAAAAGGCTCAGTAATTTCCTCAAACAGCTGCTCGCTGTAGTTTCTATCAGACAAACTGGAGGAAATAGTGCATCTGTTGGGAACTACTTTCAGCGGCGGATGAATCCACATGTGGTGCTGTAGTGAGAATTTGGGGCAGCAGGATGGTGTACGTGGGAGTCAGAATAAAGCACAGTGTTCATGGTGATGAAGGAACATGAGGGAAGAGGAGGCATCAGGCTGAGATACACAGGACTCATTAGGAGACACGTTCACGGCTGGTTTGGGTCTGAAGAGAAATATAGAATTTCACCAGAACTATCTTTTTATATCAGTCCTACAGTATCACTGTAGTTCAGTCAGCAGCAGTATCGGTACCTGGTGCAGTTTAAGTTGGCGTGCTCCTTGTTGCAGAGCCTCCGGATGACGTTCAGCACCTACAAACAAACAAACAAACAAACAAACAAACAAACAGTCACCTTGTTTCTGAGTGGATGTTTACAGTTCCTACTTTCTGTAGGTGTGACTTACCGAGTCATACTTCTCCTCTTCCTCAGCACACAGCCTCCCAGCAAGCTGGAGAAAACACACAATATACAGACTTACTGCTGATGGTTGGATGGATGGATGGATGGACGGACGGGTGAATGAGTGATTTACCTGTAGCAAAGATGTAGTGACGATGGCTCCTGTCTCAGTGAGCGGGCTGTGAGGGATTCCTGCACACAGACATTTTAATCAAAGTGTTACTGCCCTCTGGTGTCAGGGGTCAGAGGTGGGAAAGGTCATGGCAGACACATGCAGCAGCCCTGTAGGATGTTTTCTGCCTGTTATGTAATGGTTTTCTATAATAGAAATGCTGCAGGTAGTCCGTCAGTTTCTGACGTGAGCATCTGAGTCATCGTTTTTAAAGTCCTCCATTTTCAACTGTCTGCACTTAAAACGCTACCTCGGAGTTTAAAACCAAAACACGGTTGGCAGCGTTTTTAAATTTCTCCATTTTTTCAATCGTTTGGATTCGCTATTTTATTCTGGATGAGAGGAAGAAGCGCAGCGGAAGGTCTGAGTTTTGAAACAAAGTGTGTATGTGGCCCGAGCTGTCATGGAAATGTAGATGTTTAAGTGTCTAGTTCCTCAGCTATTCAAGGACCTCTCATCCACAATAAGACCTTTCTTAACTCTCTTTTTCACTTACTTTTTAAGGTTAAAAATGAAAACAATACTGTGTTTCTGAATTCTTTCCATCATAGTAATACGGTTACAATTAAAAGTCCTACATCCAAAATTGTATTTTATTTAAATTAAATTAAAAAGTACTAGCATCAAAATATACCTAAAAAATTAAAAGCACTCATTCAGCAGAATGCCCGATTGCAGTAGAAGTGGCAGAAAATACTCTGACCCAGAAAAAAATGGTGACAGGTGAACGGAGATGCACCCTTTTCTCTGTACACCTGATTTTATTTTGTTTGTTCTAATTAAGTCTCACATGCAAAGACGATGATTACATGAGAGGCACAAAGTGAATCCATGCAGGTCAGGCTGAATGGGAGATAAGTTTTAGAAAATAAAACAAACATAAAATATTATCAGGAACACAAATCTGTGACGACGGCTGGAAAAAACAGATCGATCCTGAGAGTCTAGGGAAAGGAGGGGCGATTGTTCCTGGACCTGTTTTAGTGAGGGTGAATGGAGAGTCGTATCTGGAGTACCCCTCCACGCCGACGTATTTGTGGACGAGGTCAGAGCCCAGCAGGTCCACCGCCACGCCGTACACCAGCGGCCATGACACCTCACCCAGAACCAGAGAGCCGGCCCAGTCGCCCAGAGACAACCTGACAGACAGACAGACAAAACCAGCCATTTATTCACTTTTCTCACACTGCTTGCAACTAGCAAAAGGCTTCTATTGTGAGGTTGACTAAATAAAAGTCGGTCTAAATTGAGATGCAGGCTTGTTGCTGAAAAGTCACACTGATGTAAGATACACTAACCCAGACAGTGGTGGAGGAAATATTCTGATCCTAGTAAAAACACTAATACCACGATGTAGAATTAATAATTATTAAAGTAAAATATAATATCATGTAATGAGGAGTATTATGTATGAGTCTGTCTATGAAGAAGCTAATGTAGTTTTACTTTCAATGATGACATACTGTACCTCTGTCCATCCACAGTGCAGATTGAGACGCCCCACTTAGTGCTGTCCATACTTTCCTTTTCTTTCTCCTGAGTCAACAAATATAAAACAGGACAATTTCATTTGTGTTCCTTCACTAATTCTGACCCATTTTTATTCCCTGGCATCCCCAAAAATATGCTCCAGGAACTAAGCTGACAGTGATTAAGGGGGTTAGAGAGTCGTACCACTTCTTTGTCCAGATTTTGTATCAAAAAACTTCTGAACAAACATTAACCAGTCTACATTTTGGGCTGTTACATTCAGTTTGGAGTTTAGCATTTAAGGGCATCGCTGAACTCGCTCTGAACTTCAGGTGTCAGTGCAGAACTCACCTGGACAGACGACAGCTGACGACACCTCGAAAACAGCTTCTGAGTTTCTTCAGTGAAGGTGGAAAAATCTGGGATAACAAATCGTCCCTGCAGAGCTTTCAGGACCAGAGAGACGAATCCCGTGACGCACCTACAGTGAGAAAACACAAATAACAACCACTAACAAACACATGATTATGGCACTAACCACAACCAAAGCCACATCGCCACGTGTAACAGCATCCTGAAATTGCATCAGAGGTATGTGATCCACAATGAGCCCAATAAATAGATCCAGAAACGTGACCACAGCTGGTCTGACTGTCAGAGTTTAGCTGGAGATAAAATAGCATGTCATCTGCAAAACATCGAAAGTAAATTCAGAATTTCTGAATGGTTTGGTTCAAATATTGAAAACAGAATTGGACCCAATGGACATAAGTGTGGAGGGAACAGACAGGGTCTTGGGAAGGTTTTGCTGAAGATGTAAGAAAGAAGCCAGTACAAGGTTTACCTGTGGAAGGTGTTTCTGTCCACCGATCCCTCAGCGTCCTGCAGCTTCCTCAGGTGGAAGAAACACTCTCTGAGCCGAGGGTCGGACCTGTGCAGACCGGAGCTCCAGATGGCCTGACAGAGAAAACAAATGTACAGACTGGGATCCATGAACCTCCCAACAATCAAAAAACAAACTCTAAAACACTAAAAACATGTACCAACGCTTCAGGTAATCATCCACAAGAGCCGCTTTTATTCATTTTGGAAATAAGAGATTGATTCAGTAGTTGTATAAAATGATTATTGACTGCAGCCTCTCATAAGTCTTTAACCTAGTTACATTGCTTTTATTGCAAAGAAACCATTGTTGTTGTTTCCTGTAAAATAAAATAATTAATTAATGTGCAACTTTCATAAACTGGTTATACTGTACGATTAATAGCAATCTATCATTGACATTAATCTGTTTCAAACTGTTGAAGATTATTACTTTAACCTCTTAAACACTTCATTTTCCCCTTATACTTTACATTTTATTTATTACCCCAAAATTCAGCTGGATGTATGTGATGTTTGGAAGAGTTGAATATACCGTAATAGATGAATGAAATGGTGATTTATGTTTTCCACTGCAGCCATTTAGTTATGCATTTACAAAGAGTTGCTGGACATGTGAGAGAACTAAGTCAAAGCAGCAAAGGCCGAGATATCCAGACTTATTATATATTATATATGTTATATAAGATATGCATTTTATTACAGGCATTTCATAGTTGACAGGAAACCAGAGAACAAAGCAGTAAAATCCCCGCTTTAACTCGAATCAGGGACTTCATGGTTGATGGTTGGCACTTTAACCTTTTAGTCATTCGTATGAGCCACTTCCCATAATGCAACTTGATAGCATCTTCCGTAAAAAATCTCTGCATAGCAAATCTCCACGTCTTTCAAACTCCACACCTGTTTGAAGGGTACAAAATTAACTATTTTGTCCACCAGCCAGTGGCTAGGGAATGCTCAAAGTGTACCAGCCATTCAATAGATTACCATTGTCTTTTGGCTGGTGACTGAAATAAATCCACCAGCCATTTGATATTTTAGCAGCATTTGGCTGGTGCTAATTTTGCACTCTGCCTGTCTGTTAAAAGTTTCTAGATAAGCCTGATGTCAGCGTGAGGATTTAGAAAGCTCCCTCCAAAGAACAACAGCCTGTCTTCACCAGAGAAACGGCCATATTGAGCGATCATGCAGCAGCGGCCATGCAACAACCATGTTTAGGTTTTTAGTTAGGCAGTGACCTCTAGTGGCAGAAGCAGTCAGGTGACGTCATATAAAGAGCTACAAAGTCTGTGTAAAGAGGTGGTTGGGGTGGATGGATGAGTCAAGTAAACTCAAGTAGACCTTCACTCAGGAGACCGAGGTTTGAGTCCCATAAGAAAGAAAGTCAAAGTTGACATGTTTGAAGGTAACTAACATGACTTACTTAATGTCCTTATTTTAACCCAAACCACCATCTTTTTCTAAACCTGACCAAGTGGCTTTGTTTACTAAACATAACCAAACTAAGTTTACTACGTGTTAAACATTGTTTGACTTAGGTCCCGTCCACACTACTGCATTTTCGTTTTAAAACTGAGACCTTTTGCTATGTTTGCTCCTCCCGTCCAGACTAAAACGGAAAACAAAGACCTAAATGGTGACGTTTGAAAACGCTGCCGACCCCGTTTTTTGTTTTAAAACTCCAGGTAGAGTTTTAGTGAAGACAGGCAAAATCGGAGGACTTCAGAAACAGTGATGATGACTTTTAGGGGCTAAGACCAAGTCAAGACCAAGACCAGTTCCCCACATTACATGACACACAATAAAATGTGGAACGAGATCATAATTACTTCTCAGATTGATCTGAAAGATCAACATTCCCATTTACACACCCACATAAGAGCTGAAATCAACATAAGCATCTTTTTTCAACACTCCATGCTCACAATCGCGGGGAGGGGGGGCAGTCATAAATAACACAAGTTTTACATCCAATCAGAGTTTTGATCTTAACAAATAAATCAGACAATGTGCAAGCAATTTATTGATAGTCCTCAATGTCCGAGACCGAGACAAGACAGAGTACAAATGCGATCGAGTCTGAGAGGAGACCAAGACCATCAAAAAGTGGTCTTAAGACTGGTCTACAACACCACTGATTGGGTCTTTTAAGTCATGCAAAGTAGAAACATTCTGTACCAACAAATATTCTGTACCGTAACACTTACAGCCGACACTTGTACTGTAAATGTCGCTGTTTATTTTGCAACCACTCCCTGTCTGTTTCCCGACGCCACCGCCACTTTGAATTCCGTGTTACATTCAGTAATAGTACCAGCTCGTTATTGGTCCATGCAAAATAAAATCTGGTTCTTCATCTGCAGTACTTTATTCTTTCACCAAATCTTCTGTAACTACAGAATAGACCATCTGCTTCATGTTTACACCGGCAAGCGCATGCCCAGTGTACGTGAACGGTCACTAGATGTACGTTTTCAGTCGTTTTAATTTAGATGGAGATCATCTCTGATAAGCAGCTAAAACCTGGTGTGGACGGAGATCGTATTTGTTTTAAAACTCTGTTTTTAAACTGAAACATAATAGTGTGGATGGGGCCTTAGGTCATGTGACTTACATAACATACTTAAGGTCCGGTACGCCTGTTGCTCGATTGGTACTTGCCAACTGTCATTTATGTTGTTTTGGGACAGTTGAAAATCAACCTGTTTTGTGGTTTAGGTATGAAGATGTGTTATAGATGAACAGAGTAGATAGACATATTGCCTCTTTATCACTTTTGATTAACGTCATATTATAAACAGTCCTGGTCTTGTAATAAAATCCAGAATCATCAATGTCCGAAACCGAGAGAAGACCGAGTACAAATGTGGTCGAGTCCAAGACGAGACCAAGACCATCAAAAAGTGGTTTTAAGACTGGTCTTAAGACCAAGATCGGTCTTGAGTAGTACAACACTAATTATAAAGACTTGATGATGTGCAAAGTGTGTGTGCGGGTATTTTGTGAAAATACCTCAAAGAACTGGTTGATGTTAATTCTTCCATCTGAAGCGAAGCTGTCAAAGAGCACGTCAGCAGCCCTGAAACCACAGAGCAGCTGCATCAGTGGCTTCATCTGACAGCCGAAGCTGTTAGAGTAACGAGTGAAGACTTACGCCCTGCGTTTGGACGGACTCTGCTGTGGAGGGAACCAGTGCTGGGCGGGGGGGAAGACTCTGTCCTCCGGCTGGACCACCGCCTGAGGGAGAGGAGGCTTCAAACAGCCGTTACTGGCCGACACCGAGGCCACTGCACATGAAATCAAAAACGTTTCTTTATATATTATAAGCAAAATGCGTCCATTCATATCTTGTCCGCAATCTGATTAGTTTAACTCAAACACACATAATACAAAGAACACACAGGTGGAGATGCTTTTTACAATCATACTTTGTTTTTAAATTATATTCATTTATATTCTAAACATTGTTCTGAATGAATTAGTCAATCACAATTATTTGTTCTTTCATTTATTGAAATATTGTAAAACTTCAATTAATAGACCAGGATTTTATTTGGTTCAGTCACTGAACTATATTTGGGACAGGCCTTTAATTAATTTCGCACAAGACTCTCGCTCAGCAAAGATGGGAAATAGGCATGTTGTTTATTTTGACCAGTGTGAATATTACTTATATAAAAATTTGTTTTTTTGTTTCATCACTCATTTTTACCATACCTGTAAATCTGAATTGTTTCCATAAAACGTGTATGCACGATCTGAGCAGCTCAGAAACAGCTCAAGCAGGTGACCGGGTGGACTTTAAGAGGTTTTATACATCCAGAAAACAAGACCAGGCTTCCATTTGTATCCGCACAAGACCAGTATAAGGGACAGGTGCCTAACTGGGATATTTAACACTAATCATGAAACATAAACAGTAACATTAAATACAAATAAATAAACAAAAGTAAAAATTTGGAAAAGGGAAAACGTTCTGTCACTGTTTGTTATTTTGGTGACCGTCTTTCAACAAATCTGTTGTAATCTTGCTGTGATTTGGGTGATGGGGTGTTAAAGGAGACCTATTAAACTGCTTTTCCAGTCCTATATTGTAGGTCTCTGACTCCTGTATGGCAGCTTTGCATGATTCAGTTGAGTTCAAAAAAATAATTTTCTATCTTATACTGATTTTTCATGTAGGCCTTCATTTCAGCGTCTGTCTGAAACAAGCTGTAGATGCTCCTGTCTCTTTAAGGCCCCCCCTCTCAAAGCCCACTGTCTTCTGATTGGCCAAGAACTGAAGCATGTTACCAGGCTGTTGTTGTTGCTGGGCAGAACAGGCAGACTGAGCGTTGCTATGGGAGCACATGACCATATATGGATCAATGGCTCCCTGTGTTGTATTACGGAGCCGTTGGTAGAAACAGCAGTTTAAAACAGAGCGTTCAGAACAGGAGGAAATCTGAGGTTCCTGCTCACAGGGATTTCTTATAAATGCTTTAACCTCATTATTTGAAGCTTTGGCCATGTTTAACACGAACATCCAACATTATAACATTGTAGATAAGTCATAAAATGTGGAAAAGCATAATAAGTCTCCTTTATAGTACCTAAACTCCAAACAATGACAGTACCTGCGGGTCCAGGACTGACGAGGCTGACAGGCTTCTGGACGGGACTCTGGACTGCAGTCTGGACCTGGGTCTGGATCAGGGTCCTGGGAGCTGGGCGAGGTGCTGTATCCTTGAAAACAACATAAAACCAACACAGATGGACAGGAAGCAGCATGTTAAGCTGGGAAAACATGTCTCTGACTCCAGGACCAGGTGGGAGATCGACCATCTGGTGACCTGGTGCAGCCTTGAACAGTCTGGAGCTCAACGCTCTGAAGACAGTGGAGATGGTCGTGGACTTCTGGAAGAGCACAGTCCCACCCTCCCCCATCATCCTGTGTGACTCCCCAGCCACCACCGTGGACTCCTTCTGCTTCCTGGGCACTATCATCTCCCAGGACCTCAAGTGGGAGCTGAACATCACCTCCCTCACCAAGAAGGCCCAGCAGAGGATGGACTTCCTGCGGCAGCTGAAGAAGTTCAGCCTGCCAAAGACAATGATAGTGCACTTCTACTCCGTCATCATTGAGTCCATCCTCACCTCCTCCATCAACATCTGGTACGCTGCTGCCAGGGACAAGGGCAGACTGCAGCGCATCATTCGCTCTGCAGAGAAGGTGATTGGCTGCAATCTTCCTTCTCTTCTGGACCTGTACGCCTCCAGGACTCTGAGGCGAGCAGGAAAGATTGCAGCTGACCCCTCCCACCCTGGACACAACCATCAGCACCAAAACCTCTCGCCACAAAAACAGCTTCTTCCTATTGTTTATCTTTGTGTTGTATATTTTTATATTGTCAATTTATATATGTATGTACACAATACTCTCTTGTAGTACATCTGCACAACACAAACCCAGAATAATGCACATATCTGCGACGTTGTTCTTTCTCTGCATATAGTTGTATTATTCTTCTTTATTATTTTTATTATTCTTATATAACTTGCATTGTCTATTCCATATTTATATATTTCTGCATTTATTTATGCCAACTGTATGTTTGTCTGCGAGTAGCATCTTATCACTAAAGCAAATTCCTTGTATGTGTAAAACACTACTTGGCAATAAAGCTCCTTCTGATTCTGATTCTGAAATGGAAGAAATTACACTGTTTTTGCTTTAATTTGTTGAAGCATAATACATATAATAAGTATTGCGGTGGTGGAGTAAGTATTCGAATCCTTTACTTAAAGAGGTCATATTCTGCTTGTTGCCTTTTTGCCTCTCCTTTATTGTGTTGTATATCTTTTTGTGCATGTAGGTTGTTCAGCCTCAGGTTGTTCTGCCTGTGTTTTGGGATCAGAACCGGCCTCTTTGTTTTGGATCACACTACCTTTCTTGTCAGGACCCGCCCTACTCTGCCTCTGATTGGCTAGTAGTCCTTACCTAGGTACTGCACATGTAATAGAGCGTTCTGACAAAAAAATAAAATAAATAAAAGTATGAAGTATTGGAAATTAGCATAAAATGACCTCTTTAAGTACTAATACCACAAGTATACTAAACAAGTCCTGCATTGCAAATATTACTTAAGCAGGAACTATACATGATAAAAAAAAATGATGTAAAAAGTTGCTCATTAATCTAAAAGCAGTGCAAACATCTTATCTTATCACATAAATGTAGTGAAGTAATGAGTTGATGTAGTGGAGTAGAAAGCAGCATGAAAACATAGTAGCTCAAAATTGTGCTTAAGTGTGTTTGCCTCTCCTGTCTGATTCTATCAGGGAGGAGGAGACCAACTCTTTGATGAAAACAGAGTTTGGCTTCAACATAACGTGTGAAGTTCGACATGTTGCAGCAGGTCTACCTGGTTCTCAGAGCTCCTCTGATGGCTCCCCTCTGGCATCCCTCCATCCTCTGCCGGAGAACAGAAGAGAAACTCACTTCAGTCTGCTGTCATTTAACACTGGATGTTTTGTGTCTGTGAGCTGACGACGGATCAGCAGGTGTGCGGTTTGTCTCGTGTTAAAGTGAAATCCAGTCATTCTAACCCTGTGTCTGATGCAGAGTCTGAGAGGAGTCTGTTAAACACCAGGCTGGCACATAAAACCAGCCAAAACCTGAAATAGAAAGCCACAATCAGACCAAAGAGCAACACATGTCCCCGTTTTATTTTGGTGAAGAAGAGAACAGTGTACTGCACGCCATCTCCACCACAGGAGAGCAAACTCTGCACACTGACAAAGGCCGAGAGATGCAGGAAAAAGCTAGACAGTTGATTAAGATGTAGATTCTGTAAGTATATTTCCTGTATTTTTTCCTCTTGTCAGTTCCCACAGAAACCTTTTAATGACCTAAAGTTAAAACACCAAAATGCAGAATATAAATATCACACAATAGGATTACACACTAAAACCACACAAAAACTTTAACTAGTTTATTGGGTCCACCGAGCTAAAACTGATGCAGTCCTGCAATAAATTCTCCCTCGTGAAGGTTATAATGTTCAGTTGAAACAGTTTTAGAGACGTGTTGTAGTCGCTGGTGTTGTTGATGTGTATTGTGTTTCTATTATTTTGTCCACCCCCATATTTATATCATGTGAGGGTTAGCACGACAATGAAATAGAAAACACAAAATCGTTCAGGACAGTGTTTTATGGTTGAGGTGACACAAAGACACTAACTAATTAAAACTTTTACCTTTCAGAAAAAACCCCAGGAAATTAAATATTTAATCTCGATTAATTGATCACGAGGTGAGATGCGTCAACATGTAGGTGGAGTCAAATCTTGGCTGACGCATTTCCTGTTCATCTGTTTTTGTAAATGGACCAAGGCGACCTCCATTTTTATTGTTGGTGCATATAAACGGCGCTCTGACGACTTAAAGCAGAGAAAAAGTGAACCCATTGAAAAAAGGACCTCATGAGCTCCATTTAAAGTAAACAACATATTTAAAAGGTCGCCTCGAAAATGTCCAACGTCCAACTAGAAAAAGCACAGCTGAAAACCCCTCAGTCGGAGTTCCTTCTTAAATCTCCCGACTTCACGAAGAAGCAGCCGCCTGCTCACACAACAATGGCAGCACCCGTGGAAGCATGTATCCAATAAGAATAATACACACAATCATAAAGTAAAACCTGCTCTGCATGTAAACTGTATGTCAACATGTCGCCAGTGTTATCAGGTAGCCGGTTACAGAAAATACTCTCTGTAAGTCGTCTTCTCTGCAAAAGTTAAGTTTAAGTTAAAAGTTAAGTTAAAGTTAAGTTTAAGTTAAGTTTAAGTTAAAAGTTAAGTTCCCCCAATATTGTTCAGAACCGTTTAAAACAGCTGAAGTTGGTCTTAAATGCAGAAAAGTCCAAAGTAATTCAGAAACTTCCAGTCACTACTTAAAGCATCTGAAGGAAATGAAATTGAGTTAGTTAACAGTTATAAATATTTAGGTATAATCATTGATTGTAAACTGTGTTTCTAAGCTCAAGGTAAAGCTTGGCTTTCTCTACAGATCAAAATCACGCTCATCCACTCAAGCTAGAAAAAGCCTGGTGACGGCCGCTTTTCTTCCCATATTAGATTATGGTGATCTGATGCCCAGTGCCTGCAGAAATTGGATGTATCACTGTCTTTTGCGTTTTTCCCTGGCTGTAGTTATAGGACACATCATTTTACCCTTTACTATAAAGCTCAATGGCCCTCTCTCTGTGCAAGAAGGTACACTCACTGGCTGTGTTTTGTCTATAAGGCACTTCTTGGACTAGTTCCTACCTATCTGAGAATCTTTTTAACAAGTACTCGAGGCCGTTATGGATTACTTCCGTGTCCTACACTTGTTGGTCCCCCGTGTCTGAACAGACTTAGGAAAAAAAGCCTTCTTCAGGACCTTTTATTTCTTATAGACAGTTTGTTTTATGGAGCCTGAATTGACCCTGGCGGCTGTTCCACCGCCACGTGTGTGACTGGTGAATGCAGATGTAGCGTAAAAGCGCTTTGAGTGGTCAAAAAGACTAGAAAGGTGCTATACAAATACGGAGCAAGTACTTATTTTTTGGTCCTGTTTGAACTGAGCCCTGAATCACACACATGATGTTTGTCAATTTAAAACATCATTTTGTCCGTCAAGAAAGTCGCAGTTTGTCGTTTTGTGTGAAAACCTTTCAATGAGCTACATCTCTCGTCTCGCACAATATACGCCACCAACATGTTAGCGCGGTAATGCTAAGCTAATGTTCATTGCTTGGTTGCTGCTAGCTAGATAACTTAGCTATGTTCCACGCAGAAGTATATCTCGCCTCATGTGTTTAATCCAACTCCGTCATTTTATGACATCATCTACACGTCCCTTGACGTTAGCTTCGGTCATTGAGAGAAAAAGTTACAACGTCACGTATGCGACTTTTACGTTTATGGTCTTTCTAATTATGTATTTTCTTACCTCAACAATTTCACATCAAACTGCAAATTTCTTGACTTTCAAATGTAAATTTGAATTTGACCATCATCATGTGTGTACTTCAGCGCACAATTAAAACGGGATCAAAATATTTTTACATATTCTTTCCGCAAGGTCCCATGGTGGTCCACCGGAAGGGGAGGGACTTAACCCCTGGATATACTTGCATTTAACTTTAACGTAAGATGGCTGCCATGCACGTTCTGTGTTCCTTTGGAGCGTAGGTTGTGCACGTCTACAGGAATTAACGCTACGCATCAGCGAGATGCAGTTCGGCACATGAACGTCAGCGGCAATCTACTGTTCCACACACCAGCCCAGGTGGTGGCGGTATGCAGTTGCTTTGCCAACCGTCATTAAACGCAGAAGAAGAAGAAGAATGTTATGAGCAGACTTTTAAAAATGAGATTTATGGCAGGATGTTTAAAATAAAACTCCCGGAGACAGTCCGCAATTACCGAGATCGTTATGATGTCTCATTAAAATCACAACCAGCTCGAGTGTCACCATGTTTGGTTTGTTTACGTTGTGCAAATTCAGAGTTTGTCGGAGGAAGAAATACGTGTCGGTGAGGGACGATCCGGTCCTGGTCTGCCCCCTAGTGGATTAAAGTTTAATCCTCCAGGTACACGCAAAGTACGCAGGCAAGGATGTAAAGAAAGCCGTTTGCGTCGCCGACGCCTGTCTACTAAGGATGTCGGGGGCTTTAAGTTCTCTATACTTCATGAGCACGTGTCCATAGTGTTGTGTAGTTCCTCTCACTGCCAGAAGGTAGAGACAAAAGTCCACGAACGCTCCATAGGCTACAACATTATAGTGTTTTACCTTTTGTCTTTTTCAGACACTAAAAATCTAACTCTTAATATGTTCTCTGTTACATAAACTAATAATGAGAAGAAAATGTATTCATTTTACAATCTGCTTATCTAATTACAGATAACCAAAGTTATGAGCATAATGGATTCCAAGTGAAAACATTATATAGTGAATATACAGAGAAATGAAAATAGAAATAGTTGAAATAGCCAGTTTGTGTTTTGGGGTTTGTTTGCTAAAGTTAGTTTGGATCACAGCCTCAGTCTGTCAGTGGGAAAATTAAGGTAGAAAAATAGATCGAGAGGTGGAGTCACGGCTCTGATGACTGGGCAGTAACTTAATTTAGATACCAGCAGACTCCGCCCACTAAGGGATACTTCTCACACCACTAATCACAGGGTGTTTCACGCACACACACACGCACACACACACACACACACACAGACCTTTCATGTCTGGGTCTTTATTGGGCTCCAGCAGTTTGTTGCCGTCCAGACCGCCGTAACGTTTCCTCCATTTGCGTCTGAGAGAAGGCGTTCTCTGGAAACTGCACGCACAACAAGAACAAGTCAAACATTTTCATTTCACTTCACATAACAAATCTCTGTCAGTGTATATAAGATAGTAAGAATACTAACAAACTATTCCACTTTTAACCACTGAAAAGTAAACCCTCGGGTTCCCCCATGTTAGAAAAAAACTGTGCCCTCTGTGCTGCCCCAGTGCTCTACCAGGTGCCCTGCCAATGGAAAAAATTGCGATGCAGTGCCCTCGAAAGACAGTGGTTCTCAAAGTTCTTCAGTACAAGGACCCCTAAATGGACACAAATGAGACCACAGATTTCCCCCCGATCTGATAGGATTTATGTATTTAGATTATTTATTTATTACAGAAAGTGCATGAAACCCATGACCAAAAAAAGCCATACTTTCTGTCATTGCGTTACTTGGGTTGAATTATGCTGGAATTAAATGATTCCCCTATTTGCTGACGACCCCCTGGAACGAGGACAAGGACCCCTGGGGGTCACCGGACCCCAATTTAGAACCACTGCTCTAGAGAGCCCCTTGGTGTGAGGAAACATGGGAAAGTGCCCTCCAAAGTGCTGCTTTGTGCAAAAAACATGATGAAGGGCCCCCTGCAGGGACGGATTACTGCACCGGCCTACTGGGCACGTGCCCGGGGCCCAAAATCCCAAAGGGGCCCATTCACTACGCTGCGCGGAAGTTTCATTTCCAGACTAACGATCGCTTTTGTCGACATTCAAAAGGCATGAACTCCCAAAAAATAGGCGTCAGCGTGCATCGTTCACTTTCTGTTTTTTCTCCCCTGCCCCTCAGATCCCGCTGGTGACAACGGTAACGTGCTGAATGTTCACCATTTTAGCTCAGCAGGTTAGTGTGCTTTGCTTAGACGCACAGCATGTCGTAAACAAAGTGCTGGACACATTAACATGTTGACCCAGAGTTCATCCTGAGGGGAACATGAAGGCCTGAACCACATGTCATCACAGCCAATCCAACAGCTGCTGAGATGTTTCAGTCTGGACTGAGGCCTTAGAGCCTTGGAGCCACGCTCGCATCTAAAAAACACTATTCCATAAAGAATTCTCACCACTTCTGCTGCTCACAGCTAAAATAACTTAGACTGTGTATTTGCAGAGCCCCTTTCACCCAAGATGCTCCACATGAAACCAGCAGCAAATACAAACTGAAAATAATGTTTTATAGTAAAACCACAAAACAAGAATTAAATATACTGCTACAGCTTCTACTAATGCTATAAGTACTTCTGCAGTTTTTGGTACATAGTGATATGGTATGTGCATTTACCAGCATCATATTTAAGTACAATTTTGAGGAACTTGTACATGAGTGTCGGGTTGCAACTGTCGATTAATTTGCCTCATGAATTTATCTGCCCACTTATTATACACTATATACTGTATATGTTCACTATATGATGGCGACTCTGTCCCTGCAACAGCCAGTAACCTGAACTGGGACCAGCACCCTTGAGCTCAGGTCAGGCCTGTACTGAGGGCGACTGCCACGTCTCAGCCTGTCCCTCAACAGCAGAGCAGGAATGTAAACCTGGAGTGTTTCCAGCTTTATGGCAGCTTCACTACAAGGAAAAAATCTGAGCATTGTTCAGGAACCGACAGGCAGTAAAACAGCAAACACAGAATAAAAGCCAGCCTTTGGTAACGCTTCCTCACCACAGGTAAGAGCCGTCCTCTGCCTCCTGGATCTGGCTGTTCTCCATCGAAGGTTTCAGGTGTGTGAGTCCAGTTATTCTCTGAGAAGACGAGGCAGTGCGTGAAGCGGCTGGTTCCCCTCAGTGAGGTATGTCTGCAGGCCGTAAACTTGGAGTAATGAATGAGATGGTTCAGAGAGAGGAGGGGAAACCAGTCAGCGCCTGCAGACACTCCCAGCGTTGCCCCTGTGGTCCACACAGCCGAAACATGGAAGGAATGTAGAGTTTTCTTATCCTATGATGCCAAAAAGACACCAAACATGTGGAACCACACTATAACACAGGAAAAACATCCTAAACACAAAGAAAAGGCGTCAGATTTAATGCACTGACATGACACAACTAAGATTAAACTAAACAAACAGATGTTCCTCTGGTTATTTATAGTCATGCTAAAAAAAAATTGATTTGAGGTTTGACTGTCTGCCTCTTAGATTTCTGTTACATTTAAAGGTTTCGAACCACTGTGAAGTTGATTATTTATTTCCATTTATTTCCAAATACCTTTTTTTAAAGGCATTTTCATTTGTTATTTAACTGCAGGCTATATTTCAGAACCGTTTTTCTAACAAATTATGCTTCAGAAAAGTGGTGGGGACATGTCCCCAGCGTCCCCAGTGTACCAGACACCTATGCATTTCATACAGTGTAAGCTCAATGTGTTTCAAAATGAAAAAAACAAAAGTATACCACCATATACCAGACTAATCCTAAATAGAAAATTTGAGCTAATACCAGTAAAAGGTTTGGACTCTTTAATGGTTCCTCTCCATTTTCACTATTTTCTACTTTGTAGATTAATACCAAAGGCATCAAAACTATGAAAGAACACATATGGGACCATGCAGCAAACAAAAAAGTGCCTAACTGCCTGTTGCCAGAGTTGGTAGTATTTGTTGGGCTCGCTCTTAACAAACAGGGGTTTGCTTAGGGACCATCAATAAATTACTAATGTGATAATAATGTCATGGAAAAATCTGATTTTTTAAAAATTATTATTAAGTTTTATTTTCAATAGATTCATAGATTCCATGTTATGTGACCCAGAGACTCCAAACCTGTAACGAACTGTAGTATCACACAGGGCAAACGAGTCACACCCCTTTGCACTAAATTTGAGTGCATGTTCCATTTTATGTTAATTAACATAATTATTATTAATTATTATTAATATTTATATTTTAAAAAGCTTTTATTTCAATAGCTTTCAAATCATATGACCCAGGTACTCCAACCCTCTGCTGAATTGTAGTACTACGCTGGGAAAACGAGAAACACACCTTTGTACTAAATTTGAGTGCATATTCTATTTTATAATAATTTGTGTTTTGAAAAAACAGCTTTGACTGCATACGAAAGAAAGAATAAGAAAATTACAAGATAATAGTTGTGAAAAATTGCTTTAGGTTTTAAAGTGATTTCTATATAATTGTATTAATGTTCAGATGTTTTTCTGTTTAACTGTGCATATGTTTGGCTTTTATTGTGAAGACAATCTGAAGCTATTATTTTGAAAAGCGGAACTCGCGATATTTACATGTTAGCATTTCCGCTCCCTGCCGAAGCTAACAGCTGGCAGCTAACAGAGGACAGCTAGATGCCCTCCCGGTCAGGTTTTACCGTAACCGGTAGTTTTATCAGGTTAATACCGAAATATTTTGTGACGTTAAACCGCTTATGTGACGTCGTCCCGGTAAACGTGCCTCCTCTGTCCGGTGTTCACGGGTTAACGTTGAGAAGTTACTGCAGACAAATGCCTAAAAAAGAGAAAGCGGTGAGTTGTTAGATTCGTGAACCAGGTCGCACTGGTCTTTTTTTATTTTCCTATCTTCACACCAGTGTTACAAACGACTTTCACTATGTTTTAATTCCTGTACGTCAATATCAGCCAAACACCACTTCCATTAGGGAGAAAAACAAAACACTTCTGCTAAATACACTTTAAGCAAAACTTTTCAGCTTTCATTAAAGCCTTTCAAGGTAAATGTAAATTACAGTGTGTGTGTTGGTTTTAAGTAACGCTACTTGAGTGTGAAGGCTTATGAACAGGGTCTCTGCAGCCTGTTGGAAGAAGTATTAATTACTAAAATACTTATTTATATCCATTCAAGGTACAGATCATGCATTCATAGTGCACCTCATTACACTAACAAGAGAACACAATCTGACAAATTGCCCCTTTACTCATATGTAATATGTAAATATCATATGTGGTCCAGGTGCAGCCAGTTCTGAAATATAGTGTTAATATGTACAGCTACAAACCTGCGCTGAGGTATAGTGCTTGAGTAAACTTGTTTTATATTCCTTAAGGCCAAGTTATACTTCTTCGCCAAATACACGCCGTACCCTGACGTGCAGCTCACCACAAATGTAGCTGCACGCCGCTGCGATGCAGAAGTCAAGAGCTGTGATTGGTCAGCTTGGCATCATCCATAGACAGGATATTACTGGACGAAGCCACCCCGCTGATTTGAACAGAGACCAGTAAAGCCAGTTTTGGACCAATAAAATACTACTACAGGGCTACTTCCTGTTGTGTAACCGTGGTTTAATGACGTAGAACAACGGCAGAAACACCGTAATTCTGGTAGATCCACCAACAAAAAGTTTCATGGCTCAGTGTGTTGGTCTGACTCGGATCGTCACTGATTAATCAGCACACCTACGAGGTTCACCTGTGAAACACCAACGCAGCGTCACTGATGGCCGAATAGTTTTTTTAGATTGCAGAGAGCTGATCTAAGCAACACGGTTACATCTCTCATGTGCGACGGGGTGTCACAGGGTTTTGATGTCATTTTTGGGCCTACGTGGATCCCTCCATGCAGGCTTTGGTCGGCTTGGTAGCATCACATTTCCGGTGTGGCACCAAAATGTGTGACAGATCAGATCAGATTCTGTGACCCAAATGGGAAGTTAAGCGGCAGAGACTTTGTTGACGAAGTGAACGGTTGTAGCTTGGTTGGGTTTAGGCACCAAAACTACTTGGTTATGGTTTATAGGCAATGAAAGTACTCGGTTATGGTTAGGAAAACATCGTCGTTTGGGTGTAGTCACAGAATCTGATAGGTCACAGATTTTGGTGTCACACCGGCTTGTCCTCCTTCTTCTGCCTCAGCCGGTTCAACAGTCGTACACGCCGTCTCCTCCGACGCCTTCTCTCGTTTCTGCGTGTTTGTAATTTAACTAAAAGTAACTGCTGTTCAACATCAATCAGCTTCGACTCCAACATGATCCGAAGAAGGACAAATTCAACATAGTGGGACATAGAAACCATAACGCCAACTAGAGTTTTGGCGGTGTAACTGAAGAGCGACGCAGACACCAAGGCACAAGTATAGATGCTCACAACTCGACGCAGAAGTATAACTTGGCCTTAATTGATTACTTGGTGCAGCTCTAGCAAATACAAGATGTTGTGGTGCTGATCACTTCAGACTCCCTCGTATAGCGATGTCTGAAAGTTGGGAACCCATTTGACGTAACACCACCACAGATATTAGATTTTTAAAAATCAGCTATGGCGTAGACTCGGTGCAGAAGACTATAACTAACGCTTCATGCTGTTACAGCAGGTGAAAAGACAGCCGGCTGGCGGTGGAGCGGCAGAGGCAGGGGCGTCTTGTCCGGTGGCCCGAGACAAAAGCGGTGCTGTTACCATAACGGTGCACGCGAAGCCCGGGTCCAAACACAGCAGCATCACAGGTCACCCTCGCACTGCTTATTTGTTGTTGTCTCCACCTGAAAGACAAGTTTGATCAACTCAAACCGGTTCTGTGCTTCTACTCTTGCAGAGGTGTCTGCAGAGGCGGTGGGAGTCGCCATCGCAGCACCTCCGACGGACGGAGAAGCAAACACTGAGCTCATTCGGTACCTGGCTGAAGTCCTGGACCTGAAGAAAAGTCACATCTCTCTCGACAAGGTTTCCGAAACTTATTAACATTCACCTCCACTTCAAGAGACGGTGTTTAGTCAGGTATGGTGTGAAGGCGTGTTCAGACTGAATGAAGGACATGTTAAGGAAGCACGGGTGTACGGGCAGACGCAAAAGTCCCAGCTCAACTCGACTCTACTCGCCTTTCCATCGGGCAAATCTGGTATCTGGTAGGTTTTTTGGTATCGCCTCCTTTGTGGTTCCAAGCAAGGCGAGGCGATGCCAAAAGGTGACGTGAACCCACTGCTACCAACTACTGATTGGTCAGAGAGAATCTTCACTATTCACTGTCATCATTGTGGGCGCCAGACGGGGTGTTTTATTGTATTGTTATTTTGGCAACACATAAAACCACAGCGGTGGTCGAGTGAGGAGGTGCAGATGCGTCACGTTGAAGATTGCGTCACGGCAGTTTCGTGCAGCGTGGCTACGATGACCAGCTATATTGACAGGGTAGTTTATCTGTAATGGAAAACAGAGGACGGGGCACCAAAAGCGAGTCCAGGAGAGGTGCGGCGGGTTTAGCCTTGAAAACAAGGATCTGCATCTAGATTTCCTGGTTGTTTGGAAATCCGTCTGAGCTTTCACACACTGTGTCAGTGCCTGTTAGCTCGCTGCTATAACTAGCGACAGACATCTAAAGTCTGTACCGTCACACCCACCGGCTGGTGTTATGGCTTGTATAAAGACAAACCCGAAAACAGCCAAGCAGTAAAGTTTGAAGTAGAAATAAATCTGCTTTGTATTCAGTCTTAACACACCTTGAACCCTGCGTCCTTCTCCTTCTTTATCCTCCCTTTTCTAAACTCTCTTATCTTCACAACTTTACCTGCTTCAACTCATTCGTGGCTTCTTCTTTTTTGGCCTCCTCACATTTCCCCTGCCTCGTTGAAAGACTTTGTCCTCCCTAAATGTACCTCTTGCAGGGCTCCAGGTCCAGAGACAAACTCGTCAAAGTGGACTCCTCTCTGAGTCCGGAGGAGGTGCTGAGGAGGCTCAGGGAGGCTGCCGGCTGACAGGAGGGACGGAGGAGGTGGACGGAGGCTGAAACAGGCTGCAGGCCCTCAAGAGGACGGAGGAGGTTCTTATTCTATTGCATTTGCAAAACACAGTGAAGAGTGTGAAGTGTTCCCTGCAGCCAAAGGAGACTGAAAACATGGACAACAAGTAATTAATTATATAATAAATTATTGTGCTGTCCTCATGTACGTTTCACAGCTGGACCAGGATGGGTACTGGGACACCAACATCACCATGGAAACCAACCATTCCCCTAACCAACCACCAGAGAGCAGGGAGGCGTCTCCATCCCTGGACCTG